CTCTCTCTCTCTCTCTCTCTCTCTCTCTCTCTCTCTCTCTCTCTCTCCCTCCCTCCCTCCTTCTTCCAAATAAAGGGCACGTCTGTCGTTTAACTGCTTCATCAACTATCATTTCCCTAATTACTAATTCCTAAGGCATAGGCTCCTTATAGCTTCTAGATTCCATACTGCAGCTACAGAAGAGATCGAGGGAGGTGCCCCTTCGTTTAACAGCCGGACTGAGACAGTGCCCTTTACTCTAATAAATCCGCACGGCAGATTTAAGGGGTCCTAAAGCTAGCTCTGATTCCACAGAGGAGCTAAACTGGGGACGGAGAGAGGGTCATCCCTCCCTGCAGTTCTGGGTTGAAGCTGTTGCAAAGGAAAAGAAACGCGCTTAACAGCGTCGGTTCTTTATAGTCACCACAAATGGATCACGGATCTAGAGCTAACCCAACTCCCTCATTCTATAGACCAGGAAACTGAAGCCGAAGGAGGTTATGAGACTTGCCGAAGGTCCCACAGGTAGTAGTGGCAGAGGCAAGATGTGAACGAACCCCCATCCTCTGACTTCCAGTGTGCTGCGCTGGGGGGAAGGGCAGGGTAGAGTCGGTTATACGGTTTGCCCCCTAAAAAGCCTTTCTATTGCTTGTGAAGCTATAGAAAAGGAATCGACGAGACGAAAGAAAGAGTCTCTGTCCGCCCTTCTTGCCCTAGCGCTTCTCCCTCCTCACCAACCCCCACCTCCGGGGCAGATAGGTACCTCGCAGCCGTACAGCTGCCCCAGCTGTTCCACGATCCACTCTTCCAACACTAGCCTTTTCCGCAGCTCCTTCCGATCGTATTTCACGGTCACTTTCCCCTGCTGATGGCGCCGCTGCTGCTGCTGAACCTGCCCCGCCACAGCCGGCACAACTGTCGCAGCAGAATCTTCCCGAGAGGAACCAGACCCTGTGCTGGAGCCGGAGCCAGCACTGGAACCCGACCCGCCGCCTGCTCCAGCCCGCGGGCTCTGGAAGAAAACCCGACTGCCCCCGCCCCCTGCTCCACTGGCCGGCTCGCTGCTGCCGGTAGCCACCGACATGGTCCCAGCCTGCAGCTCTCTGGCCGCCGGGAGTGAGCGGTTAGACGGGCTAGCGAGCTCCGGCTTTGATCCCGGGAAGATGGGGAGCGGCTCCTGTTTGCCTCTGACCCTGGGGAGAGAGGGGCGGGGGCACAACTAGGAGAGGTAGGCAGCTGCTCCAGTCTTCCTCCCGGCAGGGCTGGCTACTGAGACGGCGTCGAGGAAGCCGCCTCAGGCAGAGCCTCGGCAAGCGAAGGTCTCGCCTCTGGCACCTGCTCAGCTCTGCTCTCTAGGCGCACACCCTGACGGCTTGTCTGGGAAGTTAGGGTAGAGGAGGAGGAGAAGGGAAAGAGGGAGGGAGGCAAGAAGGAGGCGGGGACCAGGGCCTTAAAGAAGCAGCCCAGGACCCTCTCCACCCAGAGGCCCTCAGCCCTAGCCTCGGGATGTAGAGGGAGCGCGCTCCAGAGGCCACTGCTGGGGAAGGCCAAGGGCCTGGGGATGCGCGAGTGGAGATTTGAGCGTGGAGGGAGGACGCGCGTGCGTAAGTGCGGGGCGTGTGTGTGTGTGTGTGTGTGTGTGTGTGTGTGTGTGTGTGTGTGTG